ACAAAACACCCTATTATGCGCTATCAGCAAAAAAAAACATGTCCATAGAGAGCACACATGGAATTATAGTTGCTGCACTGTTGCTATTGTTATATGAGCACATATGTTGGTGCTCTTTGGTCTCATAGGGCACAAATAATTTATGGTGCACAGTGACCATATTTATTGTAGTGCCAATTTTAATTCTTTAAAAAAAAATGAGAGTATCCTCATCTTTAAACACTACTCAAATATGCTCTGGGGTTTAGGTCAATCAAATCTGCACAAAACTAAAGATGTAAGTAACTTCTTACAAGATATTAGGTAAAGTAGCTGCTTGGTATTGGACTAGCTAATAAGTAGGGGTGGGCACTTGGAACCGAAAACCGAAACTGAAACACGAATCGAATCAAACCGCACCAAACGGTTTGGTTTTGCGGTTTTGAAACGGTTTCGGTTTCAAAACCGAACCGCGACACACAAAACGGTTTGGTTTCGGTTTTGGGTTTTCAAAACCGCACCGAAACCGAAACCGCACTTTTTTATTTTTATTTAGTTCATTCAACTAGGTTATACTTATTATACATTTAGTTTTGCGGTTCTGGGTTTGCACCGAGTGGGTTTGCACTTTCAGTGACTGCTTCTGCGCCGCCTCCTTGCATCTCCGCATCTACCTTTGCGACCTGGTCACCTGACTGCCTGCTTGCATCTGCTTCTGCCTGCCTGCCTGCGAGCGACTGCTTCTGCCTGCCTGCCTGCGAGCGAGTCGCGACTGCTTCTGCATCTGCTTCTGCGGCTGCCTGCGAGCGACTGCTTCTGCTTCTGCGACTGCTTCTGCGGCTTGCTTTCATCTCTGCCTTGCCTCCAATCTTGGAGTCGACACACCCAGAGGTAAAAATTTCTCATCCTCTATCTTCAATTTCATATATGTTGTTAGATTAATTCGAATGTTAGGCAGGTTTGGGTTTGGCAAAAAATTACTAATCTACATGTTGAAGTCGACACACTCAGTGGAGTAATTATTAATCTAAGCAGTCTTCAATTTCGAAAAACTCAGGTTTGGGATATTAGTAATTAATTCGAATGTTGTTAGATTAATTCGAATGTTAGGCAGGTTTGTTCAAATGTCAGACTGTTATACTATTAGTAATTTTTTTTCGAAAGTTGAGATATTAGAGGTACTCCACTGAATCATGATTGATAATTTAAAATGTGCATTTCTTTCGAATGTTAGGCAGGTTTGGGTTTGGCAAAGTAAGTAATTTTTTTTCGAAAGTTGAGATATTAGTATCTATCATTGATGATTGGTTTTGAAGTTAAAAGTTCACAGTAGTTTGCTTTTGTTTGATATCAGGCAAAGCCTTGAGTAATTTTCTGTTATACGTTTGCTTTTGTTTGATATCACCCATATAACATTATTCTATGGTTTGTTTTTTAAATGAATTAGGAGATTTAGAAGGTCTATTTATTTGTTTCATTTCTCTCATTTTGAGTCTTCTTCTGTCCGTATGTTCTTTGTTCCAATGGGAGTTGGCTGTTTTCTTTTTCTGTGGTTTTATTTGTTGTTTTCAATTTGTTAATCTGTGACTACGTTGATTCACCGTCTTCACTGCACCATTTGTTGTTTTCAGTTTGTGAATGTCTTCACTGCACCATTTGCATAATTCACTGATGTCTTCACTGCACCATTCACTTATTTGTCAATATTTAAGTCTCTCTTTTATCATCATTAGTAAACTATCTTATCATTTTCAGCCCAACTTCAGCAGTCCGCATTTACTAATGAAATGATTGTTTGTTGACAGTTTGACTCGAGTACCTCTAGAAAATATCTATGCATGGACCACTACTGTAACCCGTTCTCAACCGATGAACTTCAAACTATGGTGCGTATCGCGTCATTTTGCCTTCCTCCCTATTTATTCAGCTATTACATATCCAATTGTATTGATTCCTACAGAACAATGTTTACTTTTCTCGGCAACCTCTTTACAATGTTTTACAATTTCTTTCCTGCTACATTATAATAGAAATGTGAAGTACAAAGTCAATTTAAAAACCTAATATCTATCTATTTTCTTAGTATAAAAACCTAATATCTATCTATGTTCTTCTTTCGTATTTTATTTCAGTCAAGATATGAAGAATCCAGCAAGCATAGTGGGATTGGTTACTCTTCTACAGGGGACTCCCCTGAGAAGCCGGAGGACGAGGCAATAGAAATTGACTCGGAAAATGAAATAGACGTTGAAGGTGACTTTGAAAATGACGGCGAAGAATCTGAGGGCGAAGATGAAAAAGTAAGTAACTCTGATTCAAGAAAACGTAGTTGGGTTTGGGATCATTTTACAACATATTATGTGACAAAAAAAACAGTCGAAAATCAATGAAAAGGGAGAGAAATATTTGGCCGAAGTAAAACTTAGGAGAGCTAAATGTAATTATTGCCCAAAACAGAGCAGTGTAGGTGATTATGCAGCTGAACCAAGAGTTAATGGCACCACAAGCATGAGACACCACATTGAAAGATATTGTAAATTTTACCAAGGGAATAGAAGTAAAAAGCAAAAAGTTTTGGTTGGGGATAAAAGTAAAGGTAACAATCTGGTTGCTGTTGGATTTTCACAAGAGAGTGTGTTAGAAGCATGTGTCAAGATGGTAGTCATAGATGAGATGCCATTTAGTACAGTTGATAAGATGGGGTTTCGGCTTTTTTGTGCTGTTGGTATTCCATTGTTTAAAGTGCCTTCTAGAAGAACTCTTGTGAGAACTTTTCTCAACATGTCTCATGAATCAAAAGCTTATTTGAAGAAAACCTTAAGTGCCCATAGAATTTGTCTCACTACCGACACTTGGACAAGCACACAAAACACCAATTATATGGTTCTTACTTCACATTTTTATTGATCATGAATGGAATATGCATAAGAGGATCATAAACTTTTGTGTTATTCCTAACCACTATGGAACCACAATTGCAAAGTTAATTGAAAGTTGCTTGTTGGAATGGGGGATAGACAAAGTTATGACAATCACAGTGGACAATGCTTCCGCCAATAAAGTTGCTTTGGATCAACTTATGACGAAAATGAATAGGTGGGAAAATTCACAAGCTATTCTAGGTGGCAAGTATTTACATGTGAGATGCATCGCTCACATAACAACATAATTGTGAGTCATGGATGAAGAGAGGCTAAATAATGGTCTATTAGCTATAAGAAATTGTGTGAGGTTCGTGAGGAGCTCTCCACAAAGATTGAAGCTTTTTAGGCAAGCCGTGAATAGGGTGAAATTGACATGCAAAGCAACGGTTTGCCTTGATTGCCCTACTCGGTGGAATTCTACATTTGTTATGTTGGATGTAGCCTTAAAATTTAAGAAGGCCTTTGCTACAATGGCGGAGGATGAAGCAAGTCCCTTTTTGGCTTACTTTAAGGAAGTTGAAGATGAAAAAGATGAAGATGGTGTAATTATTGTTTGCCAAACCAAGGGGAGGAAAAGGGTTGGACCACCAACGGAAGAAGATTGGTCCAAGGCGGAGGTTTTTGTCAAGTTTTTACGGGTGTTTTATGATGTGACTTTGAGGGTGAGTGCTTCTACACATCCCACGGTTCATCATACCGGCCTCCATGATGTCATAAAAGTGGAGAGCCATCAATAACTTGGAATCCCGAGCCAACATGCAAGTGGGTTTACTGTCGGAGCAATTATTGAAGGCAATGGCATCCGATATGAGATCAAAATATGAAAAATATTTTGACTCGTACCATGAATTGAACCCTCTTATTGTGATTGGACTTGTTTTAGATCCGAGGTTCAAGTTGAGGCATGTCACACAACTCTTTAGAAAGAAACTTTCCGACATTGAGGCACAATTGAAAACTGAAGAAATAAAAAATATATTTCGTGCCCTTTATGATGAATATGTTCCTAATGTTGAAGGTGGAAAATACATGAAGAAATCGGAAAGTTTACAATCACAACCTTCTTCTACCTCATCTAATGTGGCTATGACGGAAGATGATCTAATTGACGAATGGATGCATTTTGTTGAAGATAGTGATGAGAAAGTGGTGGGAGATGAGGTGGATTCTTATTTGTTTGATCCCTTGGTACAAATTACAAAAGAGGAGTCCACAAAGTATTTTAACATTCTCCTATGGTGGAAGGTGAATGGTAACAAGTATCCTATCTTGGCCGCAATTGCAAAAGATATTCTTGCAATTCAAGTTTCGACCGTGGCATCGGAGAGTGCTTTTAGCACCGGTGGTCAAGTGATTTCGGATTTTAGGAGTTCTTTAACTCCTAAATCGGTGGAGGCCTTGATATGCATGCAAAATTGGTTGAGGGGTGATAATATTATTACTTTGGAGGATGATGCACCCTCAATTGACCACATTGAGTTCTATGAAAGTATTGAATCCGGTAAGTATATCAATTGAAATAAAAGAACTTTCTTTGTTTTTTTTTTCAACTAAACATCAATTATATTTTTTATGTTTTGTATTGTGTAGAGTTGGCCAAATCGACTTCAAGCATTGCCTCTCTTACTCTTGATCAAGAACCACAACAAGCTCCAAAGCAATCTCAAGGTTCTAATTCACAAGAGCCTCCCCTTATGCGTTTACAAAGTGCAAGGTCTTCACAAGCTCAAAGGCCTCCTAAACCTTCAAAGAATAAGTGTCCAAAAGGAAAAGGAAAGGTAAAGGTTTGAAACTTGAACGATGCAAAGTAAGTTGAAAACCAAGATTTTGTTGAATTCCATGAACCATTTATTTTTTTGGTTGTACTAATGCCATACGGCATTTGACATTGAACTTTGTTTGAAACTTTGAAGTTTGAACTTTAGTTGTATTATGGAAAACTTAACTTTTCAATTGGGTTGTAGTAAACTATTGTGATTGATTGGTGATCAAGTTGAATTTTAGTAGATGTGAATTATGTGATGCGTTTTTTGTGCAGTTTTGTGCAGTTTTTTGGTGCAGTTTTGTGCAGTTTTTTTGTGCAGTTTTGGTGCAGTTATGGTGTAATTTTTGCTGCAGTTTAGTTGCTGTTTTTTGTGCAGTTTTCTGCAGTTTTGGTGCTGTTTAGCTGCTGTTTTTTGTGCAGTTTTGTGCAGTTTTTTGCTGCAGTTTCAGTGCAGTTTTTTGCTGCAGGTTTGGTACAGTTCTTGGTGTTGTTTTGCTGCAGGTTTGGTGCAGTTTTTGGTGTTGTTGCTGTTTTTGGTGCAATTTTGGTGCATATTCATTAATTAATATATAAGGAAAATAAGACCATCTTATGCATAAATATGTGTATATTTTAAATTGTACATTTTTTTCTCAAAAACCAAACTGAAACCGTTTGAAACCGCACCGAACCGAACCAAACGGTTTGGTTTCATTTCGGTTTTGGCTTCAAAACCGCACCGCACCGCACCGCAAAAAGTTTCGATTTCGGTTGTGGTTTCACTCGAAACCGCACCGCGCCCACCCCTACTAATAAGTAACTCAGCTGATAAACATGATTCCCAAACAGGTAACAAGGTACCAGATATTCGCTCAGCCAGGGGCGATGCGGAAAACAGCTACGACATTAACAAACCGGAAGTATAACAAATACGACTTCATTTGCTGACTTGAATGGAAGAAATCCAAATCTTGGCATCTCATATTCCATTAATTTAAGGGAAACCACAACTTCCCGTGCTGTAGGATAGTCACGATGCTCACAGTCCACAACCATATTCCCTGAAGCAGCATTAACACAAGGAAAAATTTTACAATATTCCATAAGCTATAACACACCAAAAGTTCAAAAACTTTGGTTTATTAGAGAGCCAAACAAGTATGCAACGGAAACAGAATTTTTGGTTTATTAATTGCCTCACTCCCGTTCTCCTTCAAGTTAAAAGCTAGCGTTGATGAAATCTTAAGAAAATGCCTATGCATGATCTTATCTTGTCTACGAGTACGCTCTGTTAGCCTTATAAGGTTATACAATTAAAACACAAACGAAGGAGTGACTGACCTGATTCCAATGGTAGTTATCGAAGACGCAACAGCCATGCAAGCAAGACGTGATCGATAAAACTCCAATCTTTATGTTTGCCGTGACAAACAGAAACACCAACTCTTCTGTAAACTCCTAGCTTTATGACAATGCTCTATGGGAAGCCTTAGTTGTCGTGTCTAGGGTTAGTAGGGACCGGTGTTTTTATATAGGCTGAAAATTAGGATTTCCATCCATAAAGGAAACCTAAACTTACTTTATTAGCCTCCAAGTCAAGTATCATAATCATATTCAATTAAGGATTCTATCAATCCTATTTCCAATATAAGACATCTTATATAAGATTGATATCTTTAAGAGATCAAATCACAATTAACATTATTCTCCAATATTACATTCCTATTACATATAGTAGACCACTTAAAGGTTGATTTATATTGGATAAATCCAACATTCTCCCACTTGGTCTACAAAATGTAATATTATGTAATTATCGATCACGTCTTGCTTGCATGGCTGTTGCATCTTCGATAACTACCATTGGAATCAGGTCAGTCACTCCTTCGTTTGTGTTTTAATTGTATAACCTTATAATGCTAACAATTGGTATCAGAGCCACTAGTTATATGATTAAAACCTATTAGGTTTAGGTTGGACTATATAATATTTTTATGAGCTGCGTTTTTAATCCATGTTATGATTGCATATACTTGGCAACACCACCATGTTGTTTCAATCGGTATAATTGATGATTGTTAATAGGTTATCTAACCATTCGGTTTTAGTCAAGAATTTTAATAATCTTATGGCATGATGAATCTGGGAAACTTTATCAAGAATACTAGCAAATCGTGTATCAATACTATAATAGTGGCATGCCGCATGTGGAGAAGTGTATATATAACCGTGTTGAAGTATAAAATTAAAATAATGGTGATGATCCAAATATGGAATAAGCTTCAAATCCCAACAGTTTTTTAAACTATACCTATTTTAATTGCAGACAATATGGTTTAGTTGATAGTTTTTTATCAGGCATCTTTATTGCATAAAATATGTTTGGGTCGAACCACCAAAGTCTGGAGATTGCTAATATTTTGATCAAGCAAGAGCATGTAATTTTTATTTGATTAGTCAAATTTGATTACCACCAATAGTTCTGATAAGGGGATGTTAAAGAAAATTGATTAGTTAGTTCATTGGATTAACTATGACTGGAAACCATGGCATATTTCAGATTTTCTATTTTAAAGTTGATGTTTTTGGTTGGAATGTTTAATCATGTACTACGGATGTCTTTGTCAAGCCGACCTCTGCCAAAGCAGAGCATTGTGTTTCATCGACTCAATTCGGATTTTGGGTTTTTGGTGTAATCTTTTCCCTTGGTCTTAATTGCTGACAAGATTTTGTGGTGGATTTAAAAGGTGATTATTTGGTTCCTGCATAACTTACATATGCCGTGACATCTCCTTATTACTTGGAATATTATGTTTTTGGTTCCTTGTTTTGGTGGCATCAAAGAGTTTTCGTACTAGCATAACCAACTAATTATTCAGAACCCAATTTTGACTGCAACCTAATTCTTAGAATTAAGAAAGAGGCGTAACAGTTCAAATATTGCTTGACATCCTTCGGAATGTTGGTAACGGAGTTGTTCACTTTTAGATGTCTCAATACTATTATTGGTATATGATTTGTGCCTATATATATGATTGTGGTAACATATATTACAGTTGTGTTGCAGGAATGCATATGCTAAGTTTATATATGTCTATATTGAAAGCAGGTCAATATAAATTTTGGCAATTTTTGTTATTGCATCTATAGCATCACGGATATGTTTCAAAGATGTGTAAGGTGACACAATGTCTTCCATGACCGTAGCATATGATAACTTGTAACTAATTTGCTTGAACCAAAATTTTAATATTGTTAAGCAAATGGCATGTATAGTGTTGCTTGTATGGCTAATTTGGTTCAAGCATGAGATAACATATTTTTAATATTGCCATGGGTTTTGGACTATAGTGAATTGTAGTGTTGTTTTCGCTAATTTTCACGAGATGTGAATGAAATTTTATGTCATTAATAGCACAAGAAATATGCATGACTAATCAATCAAGTTTGTCTACAATTTGCTTTCTTATCTCAAAAGTCATTTAAATTATACATGACTAGTTACTTGTGAAAAATTGATGTATAATTTGTGAATTGACTGAGAATGACAGAAAGCATCCAGTGACAAGAACAAGGGTATTATACAAATGAATAAGGTTTGTAGAAATTATGTGACAATTCTCATTTGTATTTTTATCTATTCTTATATGAGAATTTTGGTTGGTCATGTGATTATACATATGTTTACAAAGAAGTGATGAACATATGAAGGCATGAGGTATGTAATCCATTCAAAGTATGTGGCTTAATTGATAAGCATGAATTTTCAAACATGTATTATTGTTTGTGGTTTTTCCTATGCCTAAAGAATTTAAACAGTGCTTTGATTAGTAATTTTTATATGTCATAAGGGAAAAGAAAATAAACTTTTCAAGGCTAATGTAGGGCATATATTGGAAATGTTTTCTATGGAAGAAAATAATTTTGGTAGTTCCTTTATTTAATTGGTATTTACAAGGCTAATGCACGATTTTGATGCTAATGTTTTAGGAGCCTTGTACTACGGAAAGAAAGATACAAAAGAAAAGGAACCCGTTTGACTTAAGAAAACATTTGAGCAATTTAGTTTTTAAATTAAAGGAATGTATTGTTCTTTTGCATTACATAAAGTATTTCTATTTCAAGCAATTGACTCCGTAATGATAAGTATTGACATTCTTGTGGTGGAATAAAACTTGTTCTATATGTGATTAATCTCTTTCAAGTATGCTGTCAGGTTTCTTGAGATTAATTTAATGTCAAAGGGAGTTATGAAGGAATTAGTGCCATTTGTTGGCAAGACTCGAAGCTCGAATCAGGTTATCATAATTTTGTCACTTACAGTTAATTAATCCATGTGACTTCTTGTATTGTTTCAAGGCGGAGTTGACCAATGCCTTTTCAACTAAGCAAGACGCAATAGCTTAGTTGATGATGGGACTATTTTTTGAGTTACTTCGGTCAACTTTGCATCTTAATTAGAATAAAAGGGATAATCTTCTTGCCTACAGGTGTGGATTACTTCTTTTAGTTTAATTAAGATGGCATAGTATGGGTTTTATTTCACAGAAGTTGTGAAAACCTTCATCTTGCCTACAGGTGTTGAAGTTTTTCATGAAGGAACTTTTATGACATAAAATCTAGTACTAGAAACTAGTTATTTTTCTTGCCTACAGGTGTAAATTAATTTAGTTTCATGAAGTATATTGGGATAAAGTTCCATGCCATTAGTGACAAATATTCCCACAATGAGCCCCATAAAAGGTTGTGGTTTGAAGGCATGGAAATCGGTTGCATCATGACGTATTTTTGTGTCTCTTCATGAGACTTGTTGATGCAAAGTATTGGACCCATGAAGGTTAATCAAGGATTGCTAAGGTACGCATTGTTTAAGTCTTTATGCTTGAAAATCTTTTCAATTTGAACTATGATGTCGGTTTAGAGGATGAAATTTGACTACTAAAGTTTCCTTTGGACATCGAAATTGAAATGATATGAAATTGAATGCATAAATTCATGATAGATGCACATAATTGTTTCTGGCAGATTGCGTGTCTTGATTTAAATCGGGTGAATGACACGTCTAATGGTCACCAAATGACCCGAATTTTGGATATGTTCAACATATAGATGTCTAATATGTGTCTACAAATTTTCGTAATTTTCTGCCATGTATTTTAATTATGATGAATTCACTATTAATCCATGCTCGTATAGACAGTTACTGGCAGATTATGTTGGTCTTTTTGAGACGTGACTTTAGACTACTATTTTGATCCAAAATGGCTTTATATTTTTATTTTATGAAGATTAGGATGCGAAATATGTATAACATTAATCCATGCCTATAGACATTTGTTGCCATGTATTTTTTTTGATTGTCACTATTAAAACTTTGGAGGTAGACACGCTTTATATTCTTTATGCTTTTGAAATCTGTGATGCTTGTAACTTACTATTTTGTTTAATGGAAGCTTATATTTTACTATTTTATTTCTTAGTAAAGTGCAAATTGTATCCATTGCTGCATAAATTGTTGAAAATTATATAAGTTGATAAATTTCTTAAAAGTTAAGAAATTATATGTGTCTTGAAATTCTGCTTTTCTTTATGAACATCTGTTGAGAAATATTTAACGAAGTTATTTAAAATATAGAGCAAATTAATCTTTCTGACGAAATTTTGTAATTTATTTTGCGAGTGTTTAAAACTTAATTAGAATAATGAACATTAAATATGGCTGTATCATTCCAGTAAACATTAATTCGATTATTATGGCATATTTAAAGCCACTGTTACGTGAATAATCAATAATTAGTTTACTAGCACAAATGGGTACTTAGTATATGCACATTTTCAAAATGGCTTTCATTTTAGTTGATCTAATTCGCGTTTTGGCTCATAAGACTTATATTACTTATTAATACATCAAGATGGCTACTGGATGCTTTTTTGTGGCAATAACAGTAATGAATGCTTTCTAATTACTCATTAAAAATAAGCATTCATTTACTAAGTAAGGCAAACCCAAAGAGCCAATTTTCGGAAAATATGAGTTATGCAAATTAAAGTGAGATGTTGCGATTTAGTGGGAGAATGAACTTAGTCCACCCTCATTAAGGTTGTATATTAAATCTTAATCCAGTTGGATTCATTAAGTCAATTTTTTGTGTGCTAGTCAAATATCTGACAATACATATTTATTCATTTATCAACCGTATCAATGATTGCATTTAAATGGCAGACATGGTTTACTTGAGTACCTCATTTTGAGGGATTCCATATCTTGCCCGCAGGTGTGGAAATCACTATGGTAACTCGTGGTGCATAGAGTTCAAAAACATATTAATTCATCTTGCTCACAAGTGTAAATGAAGTTTTGCATGGGATAATTTCTCAGTGGGTATTGGTTGTGTGATGTTGCCGTTGGCTCAACATGTTTGTATTATTACTGATCTAATGAAAGTTCATGCATGTTGTTTCAGATCGATAGTTATCTTCATTCACATGAAGGATATTTGCAGATAAGCTTCGAAGAAGCATGGCGAAAACAATTGTGCAGTTACAATAAGGAATTCTCTGATGAGAATATAAAGGTAATTCAAAAGCCTCCCTAATTTCTCTTTTGCCTTTGATCAATGATTGGCTTAATGTGATTAATGTGAATATGAAGGATCTTTTTTGTCAACTCACCAATCCCATTCTGGGTCTGTCAATCACACCTGGTTAGCTCCATTAACATGGCAGAATGGACAGAAAGAGGAATGAATTAATGTAATGAAATGTGTTACAACATGTAAAGCCAATAAAAGTGCATTTAAGTCTCCAAACTTATCTCCATTCAAACAAATATATAGACCACTTAAAGGTTGATTTATATTTATATCCATGGACAGTCTCACGGACTGTAATCATCATATAATATGTCCTTGTCATGGAAGCAGAGGGTTCAGATTGCCCACAATGTGGCGGATGCTGTCAACTATCTCCACAACTTCTCCCAGCCTCCCTGCATCCACAACAACTTGAAGACCAGCAACATCCTCTTGGATGCCAACTTGAGGGCCAAGGTTTCCAATTTTACCTCGGCTGTTGGACACTTTGACAAGAACCAGCCAAGAACAGGATCCAGACTCGAAAGACACTCGCAGTGGGCACTCTTGGGCACTCATGGCTATATGGCCCCAGAGTCCATCCAGAACGGAGTCAATACTCCCAAACTAGATGCCTTTGCTGTCGGGGTTGTCTTGTTGGACCTATTATCTGGAAGAAGCCGCGGCCGCTGCTGCTGCCGATGACATTGAGAAGAACAATGAAGAGGTATTGCTATCTGTATCCATAAATGAGGTGTTGGAAGGAGACCATGTGAGAGAGAGACTTCAAGGCTTCATGCATCCTTCCCTCTAGAGTGAGTACCCCTTGGACCTCGCATTTTCCATGGCCCAGTTGGCTCAATGCTGCGTTGCTCCTCATATCAACTCTCCCCCAACCATGGCTGAAGCCACCTCACTCTCTCCAAGATTCTTTTGTCTATGCTCGACTGGGATCCATCTGATTATGATCAACTCCAACTCCACCAACATCTAAGTTTCGTTGCAAAAAAAAACACTAAAATTCCGAGCACCTACTGATTTTTGTTATTGTATCGCACTCCGCATAGTAGTGTTCATGCAAACGGCATTGCTCTATTATCTATGTCATTGTCAACACAACAGAGGGGTCCCAACTCTCATGAGCTGCTTAACCTTGAGGTATTGACCCGCTTATATTTTTAGAACAAATATAGAATCTATTAGCCAGAACCAAAAGTAGGATTTCAACATGTTTGCTTATTAGATTGGAACACGAAGAAATCAATAAGCGAGCAATTGCAACGCCAATCAAAGTTTTCAGAAATTGCTTATCGTGCAAGGAAAATAAACTATAAAGATGCAGAAACAACAAACACAAACGGAATTCCATAAAATTAAAAGAGCCAGATTATGATCTAAGGTCCGTACAATTCTATATCTAATTAGATGTTATGAAACAGTATTATATTCCTGTATGACTGAATCAATCTAAATTTGTAGCGACAAGCTACCAAAAATTTCCATAATTTACATATAAGCATGGTGGCATAATCTACCTAGTTAGAAAACCAGAGAGCTCTCAGGATGCAGGTGGCTCTCGATATGGTACAAACTCCAGATATGATTAGCTGAATTAAAAATTTAAAAGTTACACTGCATTAGGAGGCGTACTATATATGGTCCGGGATACGAAAAGCAAATCTTGTCTCGGCCCTTTGCAACTCATTCCACAAACTTCTGCAAAACCTTCCAATATCTCATACAAGAAGGGTTTGTATGAATTGCTCGAAGAACCCATCTTTGCGGACTCTGACAAAACTCCACACTGGAAGATTGTGGACTAGCTTTTGACTGTTTTGCAAGCAAATGCATCTGGAAGAACAGCTCAGCAGGCCTCATTTCTGTACAAGATTTAAAAACATCGACACATCATGGAGTATACATCAAATAATACATATCACAAACAAAGGCAGGCAGCCAATCAGAGGGAAACAGGTTCGCCATTAAGAAAATCTTAGGCCATCTCCAATGGAGAGGGATAAAGGTCCAAAAGCCAGAAAATGACATGATTAGCCCAAAAACTCATCTCCAACCCATGCCTAGGCTATAATTTTATGGAGCCCACCAAACAATTATTTGGCCAAAAGGCATCAGGCTGGTGTAGCCCCTCTTAGCCCAGAATTATTAACAAACCTGAAAACATTCAACAGTAGTTTAACTAAATTAACCAATAAATTTAAAGTATAAACTTAAAACTAATAAATTATTGAGGGGGCTACATTTAGCCCCTTCGGTTGGAGATGGTATATGAATACAACCTCACACTATTCATTTAAAAATAATTTTTTGCAACGCTATAATTCTGGACGGAGTTATGTTTAGCCCCTTCGGTTAGAGATGACCTTAGTGGTTTCTCATAATCGTACCACCTAGACATTTAAAGAAAAAGACAAACAAATCCGAATTACACTCAACATGACAACTGATTTGCAAGTGTGGAAGTTGCTAAATTGGTCATCTATTTCTAGATGGATTGAAAAAAACAAAACAATAATTCCTCAAGACACATGAACATCGATATGTCACACATAATTTCATACCTGGCGGCCAAGTGGGCCATTCAAGACGGAGGTTCTTCTCCCACTTCTCTTTTGAGCCAAGACTTGCTACTGCTTGCGCTAATAATGCTGAGACAATTGGTAGGGGAATGAGAGAAGCTTCTTGAGCTTTAACAAGACTCCTTATCGCAAGTGATAAGAACTGTGAAGCACACCCCCGGCGGGAAAGCTCCATACAGGTGGCACCTGGACCCATCGAAGATTTAATTGTTGAATGAAAATACACACACACACAAAACATTTATCAATCTTGCTATTGAAAAAAATCAGGCATACATAGAGAATGATCAGGAATCAAGTCCGCATAGCACCTGCTTAGAGAATATGTGTGATATGAAGTACAAACCCTCACAAATTTATTAGTTAATGGAAAACAAGTCTATTCAATTTTACGTCATCTAATTCAGTGGGAGCATGTCATGTCAAGTTTAAACTAAAGCTTGAAATCTTACATTTAATGATCAGTAGGACCTACAAGAGGAAAAAGAAAAGAAAGAACTCCAAAAATCCCATCTACTAATGGACACATACCATGACAAAGCAGGAGGCTGCACTCAGCGCCCGCCAATGAACAAGCTTGTGCAAGAAACTCTTCTGCAGAAACAATGTCCTGGTTCCAAATACAAATCAAGCCTTTCACCAGACTGAATATAGCCCCCCACAGATTCCGTGAATTCATTAACTCTGTTGGGCATTCTCTGAAGCTCAGTTCTAACATATCCAAGTCAGTTTGCACTTCAGAACGAGACTCCATGAGTTTTAGACATATCCAACCAATATGAAGATCTGTCTTGAGCTGCAAGCATCTTATATACTCTTTTTGAAGGTTTACTGTATTACCTTCTGAGGCATAGGCACGGAGTAGTAGCAAGTGTGCAAAGAAAAGATGGCCATCAGGGAGCATGATCGATGAAGCATTTTTGGCATGGTTGATACAGCCAGTCAGATTACCACCTTGCAAACAGATCTCAGAAGCACAAAGTAGAAACTGGAATTTCTTATATTCATAAGATGAGTCATTATGATAAAGTTCATCAGAAAGAGCTACAGTTATTAGCCGCTCAAGTATAATACAAAGATGGCAAGGAAATCTCTCTTCACGTGCCTTCTGCAGTAAATTGAGAACAAGCAAATACCTTATGTTCTGGTTCCATGGTTCTCGGCGTAAACATCTGCAGATTTAAAACATGTATAAGCTGTAAGCCCTATGTATAGAGTTCAGAACAAGCAATTCCATATTTTCCATCAAAAAATGAAACAAAACTCTTTTGAAGGAAAACCAAATTGTCTAGTTTATCATCTTCTTATGCAGCCAATAGTAACAAGCACAAAGGAAACTATGAAAGGATAAACCAACAAAAACACTTAAATGGGATAAAGAATAATTATAATTCTTTTCTCTTTTTAGTTGGAGGAGAAACTGATCTTTAAAATCCAAAAAGCACATAGGTTTTACTTAGAAGTTATATAAACCATGACAGTTTTAGGTTGGGCTAATGAGTTCAAATTCAGAGAGAGGCATCAGTTACAATACTTCTGTAGTTGCTGGATGGTTCCAGGTTCATTCAGGCACTGGTATGTGCATGTTGGGTAAGAGAACTTCGGATTGCAAGTGCCAACAGCATAGCAAGCGACTGCTCCAGCACCAAGAATTTCATATGCTGATTTTAAACCAGCTTCAATTGGATTGGTAGTATCGACGTTGCAACACCTAGTTGCAATGTGGGTATCATTCCATTCTTCAGTGGACAACAAAAGATAACCAAGAAAATTCCTGTTCCAAAAAAAGTGCATCAGAAGAATGTTTTAAGGCTAAAAATCACTAGCACCAATGCACTACGAAGCATAAGTTAAAACCAAAACATTCTAGAAACTAAATGGCAGGTCTGTGATAACCATAACAAGAGATTTCATGGGTCAAAATACAGAAGGTTTTATTTTGACCTATGAAATCTCTTCGTCAGTCCATCAAGTTGCAGTTTCACTGTCATTCTAATTCTATTGGTTAATCCCTTTCTGTTCCTGCTGGCACCATCAGAAGTTATCCACAAATCAGGTTTTGTCCATGAGGCCTTGATCATTGGAGTTACCTTAATAAGCTACTGTTAGGATACATATGAAGAGCTTTCCTAAGGTGATTAACTCCGCTTTGATATCCAAGACGGCATTCTGATCCATGTTTTACCTGCATACCCAAACCACAACAATATCATTTTTCATATGAACCCCATAAATAAACAAACCCCAATCAAACATGAAAGGTTTCTGGAATAGTAAACTTACTAGTTTACCAAGTGCTATCAAAAAGTGCATTCCAGTTATCTCTTCATGAGACTTAAGATAGTCACGGGTGCTTGACACAATAGACTGAAGACGATTATTTTGATCTAGAGCATGAATAGCAGATAATATGAAACTGATCTTTGAACTCCGAAATAGTTGCTTTGGCATCTTCAGAATGCTATTGATGGCTGAATCCAGTCCAGAAATATAATAAAGGAGTCTACAGATAAAAACAACAGTGGCAGCTGCAGATTTTTGTTCCATTGTACAAACGCTCACAGCCAGACTTCTTACCACAGAAAGAGCCAGGTTAGTCTCACCAAGTTGCCACAAGGAGAAAGCATATATTTGCAAACCTTCCGCATCGAGCAACCCTTAAATATGAAAGATGTCAAGTAAAAAATCAGCAAAGTGAAGAATATATCAAAGGTTACAGTATATAATCGCAAACACCCCCCCCCCCCTCCCCTCTTCTTTTAAGGCAGCGTGTACAAATTCTAAATTGTTGAGCGGTTAATTATAGATATCTTTGGAGAAAAGGAACAAGTAATTGAAAGAAAATGTTAAGCATCTCCTATTGTAAGAAAATGTTTGTTTGATATAAAAGCAAGCTACTAATACATTATATTCACACAAACCTTCGTTCTTCAAATCTTCACATTCGTGCAAAGCATCTAGAGCATTCCCTGCCTGCATCACAGACGAGCATTTTTTAGATAAGATATATATACACACACGTACACACACACATATGTATTCAAAAAGAAAAAAGTCATCCTGCATGCCTCCAATGCAATTTTGTCCCTATGTTTTAAACTTTTTATA